GCGAGCTTCCCTGAAGCCCCGTGCTTCCCTGAAGCCCCGTGCTGACCGAACCTGACACTATCAACTTAGGCTAGTTTTGATAGATATTGCAGCTAACTGCCCATTCTCCCTGGGATTCCTTAAAGGTAGGTGGGATAGCCATTGCTTTCATTTTACTGTTCTTCTGTGGCAAAACAGAATGCTATGGAAAGCATTACTTAATATAAGGATAATATTGCACCTGCCTTTTCTTTCATGTTCACGCATTATTATTTGCTAGATTTCCATCCTGCCTTTCATTCAGCAACGCCAGGCAACATGCATAGTGCTCCATCCCAAGCACTTAATTTTTTATTCCTTCTTTCAAGTACAAATGATTTTGATGGCATTAAGAAAGAAATTGCAAGTGAATAGACAAAGAAAGGCAGAATGACAGAGAAACTCTATTAAACTTGCTATTGATCTGAACTGTAGAAATCTGCTGTGATAAGTTACAAAATCAATTATAGGGGAGAGATTAAATGTCAAACATTGTCATAACTGAGAGATAGACAGCTGCTTTACATTTTAAAGAATATAGAATCTTTTCCAAAAGAAGCAAGAGGGCTCATGATTCCAAGACCCACTTTCCAACATTCATTCTCTACACTGTACTTTCAACTACAAGGAAGAATACCTCTTCACTGTTTAAAGAACTGATTTCATCTGACACAATTTCTTCAGTTACTTTGCCTAATGTAACATTCTTACAAAGGCCTTGAACATAAATTGTTCTATTGATATGGTTAAATAACCAATAATGCAGATAGTTAATTATTTATAATGCTAAACAATAAATTGAAATAATTAAGACATGTTTAAGAACTCCTACCAGCTCACTGCCAAATCGTGTACTTTCAAGGTGTTGCTCAGTCTATATATTCCAGACTTCAATGGCCGCACACATTCTTTTGCACGGGCAAGGTATGGATTCACTTGGATATCTTCAGGAAATTCTGAATCCTTAAATCAAAATAAAGAAAGAAAAATTAAAATTAACTAGTGGCATTCATTCAGAATTTAAGACACATTTATATTCATAGTTTTATTAAAAGTGTTTTTTCATTGTTTGGTTTGTTGATTGTTCTCTACTCAACAGTGTCTAACACTGGGATGGCATATACATTTTGTGAATTACATTAATATTCAATTTTCCATTTAGTGTGATAATGGAAATTGTTCTGATCTGTTAAGTAAACAAAGAGGGCTGAAACATTTCTTAAATCCTGGGAAGCAAGATAATATTTGGAAGCGACAGGCATACATAGTTGTCCCTCCTCCTATTTCTCCTCACAGCAACAACCCTATGAGGCAGGCTGGGCTGACAGTGAATGATGGGCGCAAAGTCACCCAGTGAGCTTCCAAGGCTGAGCAAGGACTAGAACTTGGGCTTCCCTATTCCCAGTCAAATTCCTTAACCACTACACTACATATAGAGTTAAAAGGAGTCTCAGAGGTTGGGAAGTGTGGATGAAGAAGCGTGTAGGGTTTGGTTCCAGTTCATCATCCATCTCATTAAGCCGCCTGAAATGGTTGTTTCATTTCATTTAATGATATGGCTGATCTTCTGTCCATTCACTGGGATCTGAGTATCTCATAGGCCTTTTAATAGAGAATTATTAAAATATGCACAGTACCTGAAACTGTGTTACAGACCAGCGTGCTCAGTGTTGAGCTGAATTACATGCCAATAATAAAAAGATATTTCCTTTTTTTTAGAATAACTTTTATTAAAGATTGTTATACAGATAAAGCAAATACAATCTACATAGTATAAAATTTATAAAAATAAAAAATAAAAAAGTGCAGAGAAAGAAAAAAAAGGAAACCTCTCCCTTCATCCCCAGCATTAATGTAAAAGTTTCAGGTACTGTGCATATTTTAATAATTCTCTATTAAAAGGCCTATGAAATACTCAGATCCCAATGAACGGACAGAAGATCAGCCATATCGTCTTATCACCACCTCTTAAAAATAAAATCAACCATCTCTTCATCCCACATCTCACCCCATTCTCTATAACCAGTCTTTAAAGCCTCATCACTCCACCTTAATCAGCAAAAGTCCATTAAGGGTTATCAGAAATAACAATGTAGCTATTACAAACTATATCTAATAAATCCAATTTGAATCCTTCCTTTTACATTTATATTTCCTTTTCTATTTAAAAAAAAAATCCATCTCCTCTCTTCAAATCAACAAAACCTTTAAAACATTGTCATCCAGTCCTAATCAACAAAAATCCATTAAACATTATGAAAGATAGCAACCCATTTATTTTAGCCTTGATCAAATAAACTGATTTTATATTCTTTCCTTTCTCCTAAAAACCTTTAGTCCCCTCAAGCAATGTCCCAACATCTGCTTTCTCCTCATACTCTCCTTGTCTTTTCTCCCAGAATTGTCAGCATCTCTAACAAGCACCTTTTGTAATTCCAGTATAAAAAGGTTATCCATGTCACCGTTCATATTCTCATTGTCTCTTCTCATAAAATTGTTGACAACTTCAACAAGTCTCTTTTATAAATCCAGTGTAAAGAGGTTATCCACATCACTCTTCTGATTTAGTACTTGTGTGTCTTTTTTAATTGTTAAAACATCAACTGATTTCATTTGTAATCAAATATTTCATCTTTTTCCTCTTTCTTATAGGCTGTCATATAAAATTAAATCCACATTCAAATCAATTTCAGTTTTATTCAATGGAAATTGCTGTCTGGAGTACGTATGGGCAATCTCAAGATCTCTCCTTTCTCTGGAGAGATTTTGGCAGTCTGGATCCAGCATCCAGCTGCCGTTTTTGGCCATAATGTCTCCCGCTGTCAGCGGGACATCAGTTCGCCATTTCCTCACTGGAAGTCTCCCATAAAAAGATATTTTCTAATTTCTCCCCATCCAGGCAGCATTAATTTCTCCCTGGGGCCCAATTAATTATCTTATAGTAGCTATCTTACATTAGCAGTTGCATTCAAAATCAACCCTGTATCTGACAGGCAAAATAATTTCATACTCTTACACATGAAAAGTTTTCAGCAGTGTAATTTCAGGACATTTTGAAGATTTGGAGTTCTTTTAAGAGTGAAAATGGTGCTGTTTGCTTGCCAGCACTGCTGCTACCCTCTGAAAAACAAAAAGAAGCAAAAAGGGACCTTCTAGTTGGTTAGGGAAATAGGTTGAATATTCTAATCTATGGAAAGTTTCCCATCCCTTTTTTGCATTGTCCTAGTTCAGTGTTTCCCAAAGAACTGGTTTTAGACTCCAATAAACTATTTAAATTTAAAACCATTTAAAACACTGATGTCACATGGGTTTTATAACTGATTGTTGGCTTGGAAGCAGATGCAAAGAGCAGAAAATTTAAGTCCCTGTAACAAATACTGATCACAGTGTTTTTGTTTTTGTTGGTTTTTACACTAATGAGATACTTGAATAAAATATTCCTCAAGTTCTGGAGAAGTGCCAAATAACCAGAGCAAATATTGTCCCAGTCTTCAAAAGGGAGGGTGGAAGAAGCACAATCCAGGAGTTTAAAGACCAGTCAATCTGACATCAATATCTAGAAAGATTATAGAGATGATAAAGAGTCTGCACTATAAGCACCATAAAAACAGTACAGTAATTAATTAAAATTTAGCACAGATTTGACAAGAAAAATATTACCAAACAAGTCTTCTTTCATTTTTTTGATCATGTTAATAGGTTATGGGCATGCTGTAAATTATATACCCTGATGTATTGTCGAAGGCTTTCACGGCCGGCATACGATGGCTGGTGTGGGTCTTCCGGGCTGTGTGGCCGTGTTCTGGAAGTTTTGTTTCCTAACGTTTCGCTAGCACCTGTGACCGGCATCTCCAGAGTCCAGGAGCACAGACAGGAGCAGTTCTCTCTGTGCCCAGGGTTTTGTGACCCTTTTTGGGTTATTTATAGGGATCTGGGGGGGGGGGGAATTCAATAGAAGAAAAATCCCTGCCTAATCCCCAGGAAGATACACACAGATTCTGACACCAAAACAAGCAGCCACTCAGTAACCCAAACCCCCACACACACACCCAATCCCCCCTTCCCCCCCCTCAGATCCCTATAAATACTCACAAAAGGGTCACATCACCCTGGGCACAGAGAGAACTGCTCCTGTCTGTGCTCCTGGACTCTGGAGATGCCGGTCACAGGTGCTAGCGAAACGTTAGGAAACAAAACTTCCAGAACACGGCCACACAGCCCGGAAGACCCACACCAGCCATCGTATGCCGGCCGTGAAAGCCTTCGACAATACATGGGATAGCATCTTTAATAACT